TGAAAGGTGATCATGTTTTTAATGCATTAAGTTCAATAACATAAACTCGTCATAAGAATAACTTTAATCGAAAATATAAAAATCACAAAATTATAAAAATCACAAAATCTATACTAAATTGATTAGGTTACATTGTACCCTTAATAGACTAAATTAGTTCACAATAAAAATAATAAAACTTGAAATTATAGTTATGAATATTCAAATATCAAACAATAGATAAAAAGAATCTAAGGAAAAACAAAACCCAATTTAAGGAAGTCAAACTCCTTGATCTTTTGTTGTTGATGGATCTTTTATCTTGATCTCTAAGAGTACCCAAAAGAGAGCTGCCACTAGCCTCCAAAGCTCTCCCTTTAATTCTAAACTTGGATGAGTATTTATAGAATTTTAGAAAACCTAATTGAAATAGAAGTGGAACCCATATCAAAATAATAAGTTAGGCATGGATTTTGGGAAATTTGCGTAAAAGGTCAATACCTTCAACTAGGTACCAACACCTTTTGTTAAGCACATATTTGAAATCACTGTGCTAAGCTTCTGGCATTGTAAGCAATTTTTGCTAATGGTAAAATGACAATTCTGGTCCTAACTTTTGAACTCCACACAACTTAATCCTCAACTTTTTATCTTTGTAGTTTGCTCCTAAGAATTATGATTGCTTCCAATTAAGTCATTTTCTACACATATAATGAAAACTATGTGAAATCAAGTAAATTCTCATAAAACTCATCCAAATATTAGTAATATCAAGATAAAAATTTCACATTAATATCTATATAGCTTTAGCTCATCATTGCTCCTATTTTCGAAAAAAAAAATGTATGAGGGACAAAAGGTGGTGCATGCATCATGATTCAAGGGATACCAGGTCCTATCTCAACTTTTTATATTAGTTTATAAAAAGATATTAAAGTATACACAAAAAAATGGTCTCTTGTGTTGTATGGAAAAGATGAAAAGTCAGGCCCCCTCTTGCCTTATATGAGAAAGATGAAAGTCAACCCTCTCTTGTCTTGTATGAGACAAATGAAAGTTAAGCCCCCCTTTAAAGATGGCCTTGTCCTATATGAAAATATGAAAGTCAGGAATCTCAAAAAAATTCTCTTTTCATGTATGAAAAGTAACAAAAATGAGGCATCCAAAAAATCAACAGGTTACTCAGCCTTAAGAAGAGATTGGTCAATCAAATGGAAAAAAATAAAAACATAAATAAAAACACCAACATCTTTCATTCAAACCATAATTTTGAACACCTATTAACCAATTGCCTATTTAAATCACAACACTTTCATTCACTTCTTATTTATTTGTTCCATTGTTTTTAACAATAGTTATTGTCCTTCACTTAAGTTATAATTCACTTTGCCTTGTTTCCTTTTGTTAAGACTCTAAGAGTTCAATTTATGTCCTTCTCCCAAGTTCATTTATTGATCAAGTTAAGAGAAAGATAAAAAGGTATGTTATTTTATTTTCTTTATGAATTAAATTTGGTTGTAAAAATAACTAGATTTGTTTTTTGTGCTCATTTTTCCCCCCAACATTCTTTTTTTTTGGTAGATGGATTTATATTCAAGGTGAAATTTTGAAACTAGTGATAAGTGTGAGATGGAGGAAGAAAATAGTGATAACGATGAGATAGAGGAAGAAAATAGTGATAACGATGAGATGGAGAAAGATGCTATAGAACAAAGAGAGAGGGAGGTGGAAGATAGACGAAAAAGGCATAATGTTATTTATTCTCTTATTTCATTGAGTACTTCAATATTTCAAGTTATATTTCGAAATACGTTAACAAACAATAAATAAAACTTTCAGGTTGGCAATAGGTGCAAGAAACATTGGTGACACTATGTGAGAGTTATAAATTATTTAGAATGGAATCACATGTTTTTAGGGGATTATGTTCTTTGTTAGTTAGTAATTATGAACTAACATCAACAAGAGAAATGTGTACACAAGAATCACTGGCAATGTTTCTTTGGGCATATGCACATAACCAATCTAATTGAAATGTGCCAAATCATTTTAAATATTCAAAGAAACAGTAAGTAGAAGATTTGGTGAGATTCTTGCTGCAATGATGAGGTTTTCAAATGACATTGTGAAACCACCTAATTATAGTTTTACCAAAACTCCCAATAAGTTTCGACAAGACAATAGGTTTTGGCCTCATTTTTAAAGAAGTATTGATGCAATTGATGGTACGCATGTTAAAGCCATGATCCATGTTGAAGACCAAGTACCATTTAGAGGTCACAAAGGCATCACCACTCAAAATGTGATGGTAGTTTGCACTTTTGACATGATATTTACATTTATAGTCATAGGGTGACTTGGATCTACTCATGATTCACATGTTTTCACCCACACATTGGAAAAGCATGAGAATGTGTTCCCTCATCTTCCTAATGGTAATAATTTTCTATATATTTTGCATTATAGTTTTTTAGCACAATTCATAATGAATTTTTAAGTACTTTTTTTATTGTTTATTATCTATGACTTTTCTCTTATATTTTAGGCAAATATTATCTTGTTAATGTTGGTTATCCTAATATAAAAAGATATTTGGCACCTTATAAAGGAGTAAGGTATCACATTCCTCATTTTAGACTTGGAAGCCAACCAATCGGTTATCAAGAAGTATTCAACCATGCCCATGCTTGTCTTAAAAATGTTATTGAACGATCTATTGAGTGTTGGAAAAAGAGGTTTGAAATATTGTTCAACATGCAAAATTATTCATTCACAATACAACAGAAGATAGTAGTTGCAACTATTTCACTTCATTGTTGTATTAAGTAACATGCAATTAAGGATAAATAATTTGATACGTGTGATTATAATCCAAATTATATGCGTAAAGTGCCTAAGGAAGAGAGCATAGATCAAGGAATTTCTCAAAATAATTTGTTTGTATAATGGAGGATCATAACATGACTTCACTTTGAGATTTCATAACTCTATCTTTAATGGAAAATCAATCAAGATGATTTTTTGGCATAAGTTTTAATTTTAATTTTAATTGTCTTATTTATGTGACTTAAATGTAGTATGTTTTATTTTTTAATATTAAAATATAAGTATTTATCTAGCATTTATGTTTTAAAATATGAAGAATTAAGTTTTAATCATCAACCTTAAATTAATTATAAAATTAAAGTTACATAAAAATATAATATAAAAAATAAAGTGGAAGTGGTGATTTAGTATGTAAAAAATGTTTATTTCAGTCATTTTAGCATTACATTGGATTAAAAAATCTTTTATAAAAAATTTACCAACCAACTTTCACTCTGCAAGTGCTTTTATAAAAAATTTTACTAAGCACCTTCAGCTTCTTAAAAATTACACTTCTACAACAAATTTTTCCAACAATACTTCTATTAAAAACTCCAGTCATACCAAATGGGCTTGAAATACTATTTGACCTTTTGTGAGAAGGGCTTATTTGCATCGTTAATAGAGTTGGAGGGCTTATTTGCTTCATTTTTAGTTTAAGGGCTTAAATATTATTTTGGGGTAAGTTTAGGGGTTTAAAAAGGGTTTTTGCCTATACAATATTACTATATTATTGGTTAAATTTAGTTGAAGGACTTGATATTATAAATTTATAATATATTATATTATTATATAATTAAAATTTTATTTAATAATTTATTGATAATATTATATATATTTGATATTATATTATATTTATTTAATATTATATTATAATTTTAAATTTGTA